AAGGGATAAGCGTTTCATTAAGTCTTGTCAGCTTGTCGGTTGGCTGTGCTTAGCTGGGTGGCTCTTCTGCTTCGTGTGTTGTTGGCTGCAGCCATCTGGAGACTCTGCTGGGCTGGACCCCCCCAAGGTGGCTCATTTGTGTGTCTGGCAGATCACACAGGATGTGGGAGGGGACTTGCTCTGCAGATGTCAGCCAGAGTGCCTGTACATGGCTTGACTACATATTTTGAAGCACAACTGCTGGATTTTGAGTAGTGTCCGAAGAAGGTGGGTTCCAAGAGGAAGGAAATAACAGCTGCCAGTCTTCTTTTCTTTCTTTCTTTCTTTCTTTCTTTCTTTCTTTCTTTCCTTTCTTTCTTTCTTTCTTTCTTTCTTTCTTTCTTTCTTTCTTTCTTTCTTTCTTTCCTTCCTTCCTTCCTTCCTTCCTTCCTTCCTTCCTTCCTTCCTTCCTTCCTTCCTTCCTTCCTTCCTTCCTTCCTTCCTTCCTTCCTTCCTTCCTTCCTTCCTTCCTTCCTTCCTTCCTTCCTTCTTCCTTCAATCCTTCCTTCCTTCTTCCTTTCTATCTTTTTGTGTGGCACTCAGGGTCTTCACCTTGAGCCACTCCACCAGCCTTATTTTTGTGAAGAGTTTGTCAAAATAAGGTCTCACAAACTATTTGCCCAGGCTGGCTTCAAACCATGATCCTCCTGATCTCTGCCTCCTGAGTAGCTGGGATTACAAGGCATGAGACACCAGTGCCCAGCTGAGTGCCAGTCTTTTTAAGGAGGGCTAGAATTGGCACTACATCTCTTCCATTGCCTTCTGCTGGTTAAGCAGTCCCAGGGACTGCCTGACTCAAAGATCTCTCAAAGGAAATGACAAATAATTTTTGTGACTGTCTTTAACAAACCATGCCACCTGTCAATGTCACCCTTGGCTGGATGATCTGATATGCACTCCAGGTGACTCCTGGATGCTTGGATTTTGTGGATGACATATGTTGGTATCACAGCAAGTCAGACAGTGTGGGGACATGTCTCCAGACAGTGGCTAACATTCGCTAAGCACCTTTGATGGACCCATTAAAAGTTTGATCTCATTTTATTCTCACAATATCCTAAGAAGCAGAAACTACTGTCACTCCAGTTTTACAGAGAAGGAAACAGCTTTAGGCATCTGTCTATCACTGTGACAAAATACCTGAGAAAACGAACTTAAAGGAGGAAACAGGTATTTTGGCTCATGGTTTCAGAGGTGTCAGGACACCATTACTTGACTCCATTATTTCTGGGAAACAGAAAAGAGAGAGAAGAAGGGACTGGGGGCAGGGAAGCAACCCTAGTGACCTTCCTCCAACTATGTCCCACCTCCTAAAATTTATACCACCTTCCAATATGCCATTAAGCTATGGAAATATCAATGGATTCCATTGATATATCAGGTGATAGCCCTCGTGATCCTACCACCCCCACCTCTGCACTGGCGACAAAGCTTCCAACACATGATATTTTGGGGGACATATCAGATCCAAACCATAACAGGAAGTTCTGTCTGGGGTATGCCAAGTCGCAGTGTTTGTGGGACACCCCATAGTGAAGCCCAAGTGACACGGGATGATGGGGGCTAGGGTTCAGAGAAAGATTAGGACTGAAGGGTGGAATGGCTTAGAGGATGTGACAACTTGTCCAAGGTCACCTTGGTGCTATGAATGGAGCTGACATAAGAACTCAGGGCTCCTAGTTCAAGCCTCATCCAGAAGGGGCTCATTTTACACCATGACCTGGACTTGGGGGCCAGGATCCTGTATTTTCACTCAAATGCCCAAGTTGGAGAAGTCAACTTCAGATTTTCCTTATAGAGTGAATAACACCTTCCTCTCCAAGCTACAAGGAAGATCAAACCAGAAAACATGAATTGCCACTATGGTTTTGGGGCTTTGGAGCTGGGCAGAGGGGAGCTGCTCACTTGACATTCCAGGCTCTAGTTTTCTTGTCTATAAAGTGAGCCCAGGTGTTCTGAGAATTAAACAAGATCAAGTGTACAATGAAGTGACACAGAGTTGTTTCTCCTGTGAGCTGGCAGAAAATAGCATACTTGTACCAGTGCCACGTCCCCAGCCTGCAGCCTGGTATCTGACAGATAGTAGTGGTCAACATGTTGACTGACTGACTGACTGAATGGTAAATGAGTGAATGAATGAATACATCCTTGAATTCCTGTAGCTCCCAAAAGTACACAGGGGAAGACAACATGTGCACAGAGGAGGGGTTGGCAATGGAAAGTCCCCCGAGAACCCCTGCCTGCCTCTTGGAAGGATCAGATCTCTGGGTATCTGGGGCCTTTCTCCCTTGAGTGTTAGGAGTCTGTGGGGAGAGGAGAATTGGGAGTAGATTCAGTTGCATCCTGGGAAACATGGATGGAAATGCCCCAGTTGGTAGCAAATGCCAGCTCTCGTGGTGTAAATACTCTTGACATGGCTGATTTCAAGATGTCATATGACATCAACTGGCCTGAAACTTACTAACAGATTAATGATTGGCTCTTGGAACAGGTTCCAGCATATCAGTGGCTAAGCTTTTACCCCCATCCTCCCACCCCATGGAGCAGGGCTGGTACACAGAGAAGTCTAGTGGGAATGTAGAACAAGAGGGGTGGGTTAGTGACTGTGACAAACAAAGGACCTGGATATAACCATGTATTAATCTCTACACTCTCCCAAAATGGAATCAAGGCATTTCATAACAATGAAGATAATATAATAAGCTTCAGTGATTAAATCAGCATTTTGGGGCTGGTGAAAGTTAACATTTAGAAAACACAGGTCAAGGCCAGGGGCGAGGATAAGACCCCAGGTTAGTGCCACACAATCCTTTCCTTCCTCTGCTCTCTTGGGTTGCCTCCCCTCCTTGTGGCCTCCATGATGCCCTTGGCCTTCCATGCCAGTCTAACACCTGGAGGTGGGAGAGCCTGTGGGGAACAGGGATGAGTGTACCAGCTGGGGCTGAGGAGACTCATGGGTGTCATTCCTATTTCAAATTTTTCAGGGACTTCTGGGACAGCAGGAATACACAGAGTCTGAGGCCAGAGGTAGGGTCAACATGGAACTGAAGTCCAAGAATGAGCTGTGCAGAGATGAGCATCTTACTTGGGAAGGCAGTGAGCCTCTCGTCAGGGGAGGTATGTAACGGGTGCTGAACAGTGACTTATTGTGGGGTGTCTGGGCATTTGAGACGAGTCTCTTCACCCCCAGTCCAGATTGTTGTAAAGTTAGGCGAGGCAGGGGTTCGGAAGGTGGTTCTGGGTCCATGTCCCAATTCTGAAGCTTCCTGGTCAAGTGGTTGAGGACAATTATTTTCTTGCCATACTGGGGTTTGAACTAGAGGCCTACACCTTGAGCCACTCCACCAGCCTTTTTTTGTGGTGGGTTTTTTTGAGTTAGGGTCTTGTGAATTATTTGCCTGGGCTGTCTTTAGACCACGATCCTCCTGATCTCTGCCTTCTGAGCAGCTAAGATTAAAAAGTTTTTTATCTGTCCATACCTGGGGTGTTTCCTTGCCCACTCACCTCTACCTCCAGGAACCCCCTAACTGGACTTCTGGCAGAAATGTCCCTGGTCTCCAAGGCCAGCAGAGGTGAGAGGGGCAGGTGCAGCAGTATTAGTAAAAAGAGCAGAAGAGCAGTAGTGATTGGGGCTGTTTCTTGAGACACAGCTCCTGCCCATGCCCTCCCTGTTATAGATGGCCTCTCCCTGGGAGAGCTCCTGGAGCTGGGTCCTGCTTCTGATCCTTTTCAGTTTCCTTGACCCCAACACAGGCCCTATATACAGGATGCCTCGGTGAGGGGCAGTTAAATAAATGGGTGGGAGGGAGGATGGATGGATGGATGGATGGATGGATGGGTGGGTGGGTGGACAGATGGGTGGGTGGATAGATGGGTGGAAGGAAAGATGGACAAATGGGCAAATAGATAATTAGATGGGTGAATGGATGGCTGATGGGATGGATGCGTGGATGATTTGATGGATGGATGGATGGATTGGATGGATGGATAGATGGATGGATGCATGGTTGGAAGGAAAGATGAAGGGCTCAGTGAATATATAATTGTGGCTGGATGAATGGATAAGTAAGTAATTGGATGGATGAGTGGATGGATGGATGGATAATTAGATGAGTAGATTATTGCAAGTAGAAGGGTGGATAGATGGATAATTGGATGAATGAGCAGAGGGATAGATGGGTGGAAGGATGGATGGTTCATGTGATTTATCCTTACAACTCTGTTTCAAGGCAGGGTTAGACACATAAATCCCATTCTACAGAAATGAAAACTGAGGCTTAGAGAGGCAAAGCAAAAACCTTGCTTCATGTCCCACAGGGAGGAAGTCACTGAGGCATGAACACAGATTATCCTTTTGACTCCTTGCTCCTCCTGTCTCTTTTGATAAACCGCAAACATTCCGTCTTCATTCATTCAGGCTGTCGTTGTCACTGGGGGTCATTCATTCAGACAGAAGCTCATAGAAACTCCTTTGGCTACCTATTGCTAGGGACCTGGAGATGCAGCAGACCTGCTCTTTGCCTTCCAGAAGCTTCTAGGGGATCTGGCCTACAATAGCTGGTGAACAGCTTAGGGCAAAAGATCTTTAGGTTGTGGAATCTGAACCAGGTTTCTGAAGAGGTGAGCAGGGCTTGGTCTGAAAGGAGGCCTTGGAGTTAGCCAGGAGGTCAATAATGTCAGGCCAAGGCTGTGTAGGACCCTGGATCACCAACTCAGCTCTTGCTGGGACAAGGCTGTCCCCCCGGGCAACTGAAGTGGAGTGTGTAGTGGAGAGGAGAGAGGGGAAGGCCAGAAGCTGTGGGGGATGTTTCTGCAGGAGGTGGGGGGGTCCCCTCTTAGACAGGAAAGGGTTGGCTTCCACCACGGCCCCCCTTAGCCTCAGAACCGCCCTGGGAGAGAGCCCTCCCTAGCTGTGTTACCTCACCCGGGTCTGTGGCCCCAGTGCTGCCTCCCTCACGCAGTGGAAAAGCCAGCCAGGGCCAAGGCCCACCCACGACTGGCCACCTCGGGAGCGCTGCCCTTGGCGGCCCTGGGAGACATCAGACCAGGGCCAGGTTGAAGGTGCTGCCTCCATGGGCTGCAGCGGTGACGCCAGGTGCGCCCGTGCTCATTAGTCCCTGGCTTTTCCTGTGTCTTTCTGAGAATCCCCAGAGAAGAAAGAAATCAAAGGCTGGGGATTGGAAAACAAGGATGAAGAGATATAAAACAAGATTTCTATCTGAATAATTTCCTCTAATTGCTGGTAAGAGACATTAATTTTCCCTTTGAAGCTCCCGTGACCTGGGGCGCCTTGGGACGTGCCAGGGTGGCAGCCCGTCTAGCCGGATTGTCTCACTGCCGCCTGTGGCTGGCTGGCACGGGGCCGTGCGGGGGTGGTGGCGGGGTGCTGCTCAGCTCCGGTGGGGGTGCTCAGTGGGGGCAGGGAGCCTGTGGTCTAGTGCTCTGAAGATGAGGTGCAGGAAGCCTTGGAAGCTTGAGTCTTGCCCAAGGCTTCTGGTCCCCATCTCCTCTCTAGGATGGACCACTTAGGACCCAGGCTCTTCTTCCTTGGGGAACCACTGGGTTCTGAACACTGGGTGGAGGCCTCAGGATCTGTATTTTGTCACCTTTCATGTCTGTGACCCAGATGGGGCCAGCAAGGTCAAGGTCAGTGTGAGAGAGGCCTCTGTTGGCATCCACCTGTCCAGAGCTCCTCCCAGCTTCTCTGCAGGATGAAGCACTCATGGTCATTCCCACTTTACAGATGAGGGCATTGAGGTTCCAGGAAAGGAATCTGAGGGGACCTTATCACCAATCACATGGTCTTTTCCTTCTGTACCCTGTCCTCAGGTAGCTGCAGGATGGTGTGAGTGGAAAATCCAGATTTAAGGCAGTCCTAATATGTCCCCAGCTTACTCAACTCCGCTCTAATTGTCCCTTACCTTGTTTTCTTCAGCCCTGGGCGTCTCTCCTTGGCTGGGCACACACACACACACACACACACGTATTGTCATTTTTAGGAGCATCTCAGGTCTGGGCTGTGTCTGACCTCACTTCATGTCTAGTCCCCAGACCAGGGCCCCCTCCTGTGTGATGCATGGGGGCGCCGCTGGATAGAAGGAAGTCCCCCAGTCACTGCAATGTTTCCGTTAGCGAGGGAAACTCCCACTCTCTTCCCCTAAGATGATTTTCATTCCTTTTTGATTGCTGGCAAATTTATGAAAAGTAGAGTGGCTGTGTTCCTGATTAATTTCTACAGAAATCATGGAAGTGTTGACTTTTTTTTTTTTTAAAGAGTTGTTTTAATGTGGAAGTTTCTTTCAGATTCTTTTAAGATTGCCTTTGCCCTGGAAGCTGAGTTTGGGGAAAAGAAGGGTCCCCCTGCAACCCACACAAAAGCTGGACCTGGTGGGTAGGTGTCCTGAAGTGTCCCCACCTCACTTGCATTCTGGGGTAAGCGTGAGGGGGCTGCCTGGAGGAGGCAACCTCAGTGAATTTTCTGTTGTCCTTGGAACACACCAGTCTCTTCCTGTCTGTCTATGCATCCTGTTTCCTCTGCAGGGAATACTTTCCCTCATGTTTGCCACCTGATGAATTTCTACTCACCCTTCAATACCCAGGACCAGTGTCTTTGTCTTTTTAGTGTGTGCTTCCTCCTCCACACAGCCCCTTGTACTTACCCCAGAACTCAAAAGAGATGAGTCCTCATTTGACCCAAAGATCTGGGCGCATCCCTTGTGGCCTGCCTCCCAGGGTCCCTGACTGGGGTGCACGAAGATGAAAGGCTGACATGGCGTGGTAAGAAGTGACAGAGGGCAAAGACAAGCCCTTCCCAAATGAAAGCCATGCATCATGTTTATTTTTGGTATTTTATAGGGTGCTTTTGAGGATGAGTGATGGAAAAGAGAATTCTACTCAGAACAAGCCACAGATTTTACCATTGGGACTGGAGGAGGGAGAAATCCAGGACTCATCTCCAAGCTGGTCGCTGGCTGAAATTTGGGTCCCAACAGAGGGTCTTTATGACTGCCAGTCCCTCCAGCTGCACCCCTACCTCACAAGTGCTTTGTGGCTATCCTTGTGGTGGGGTAGAATGAGCCTGACCCATTTCACAAATGGGTTGGTTTGGTCCTGAACACGAAGGGAGTTGGCTTAAGCCTGATGCTAAATTAGTTGGCAGAGGTCTGGAGCCCTGGTGTCTGCCCATAGTTTAGGTAGCTGTCTTTAATCATGGAGAGGTTGCCCTGAGGTCCTCCAACTCCAGCTCTCCAACCTCCGTAGCAGAAGGGGCCATACCTGTTCGCTCCCTCCAGCCATACTAACCCTGGCCTCCCGACTTTCTGCCTCCCTTCCTTCCAATGATCCCTGTGCCTTCTTTCCTCTACACTTGAAGAAGACAGAGCATGCGTGAAAAGTTCAGCCATGATACCATGTGGCCTGGCTGTGGAGGCTGCTGAGTGGGTGGGTCAACCCCAAAACGGTCTTGATATATTGGGTTGCCTCCTTCTTCCCAGCTACAGCCCTGACGGCACCCCAGAAATGCCAGCAGCCCACACCCTCTCCATACCCACAAGAACCAGGCAGTCATGGATGGCTTCCTGCAGGCAGGACCCAGCTGTGTCCTCATCCTTGGGAATGGTGACTAGAGTGGTAGGAACATTCCAGGCCTCCCTTTGGCCTCAGCTGGGTGAGAGGTTGCCTCCTTCTTCTCCTCCAAGGATGACCAAAGAGTCATCCCAGGTTCTGGTCAGCCAGGCCCTAAGGGAGGCATCCGGTGAATGCTTTGCTTATGGCCAATGACCACCATTTGCCACTTGGGATGGAGGCGGGGCACATCTTCCATCAACCAATTATGGATTTGAGTCCTTTGGGGCCTCCCAGAGCCCTTCCTCGCCCTCTTTTGGGAATTGCATTTGGTTGATCACTCACAGCCACTCTGGCAGGAAGGTAAATGCTTACTCTTCTCTATTTCCCAGTATTCTTTGTGATTAGCCTGGGCCATGTGACTAGTTCTAGCCAATTAGATGCAAGTGGAAGAGACCTACGTCACCACTGGGCTGAAGCAGTTATATGAGTGTCTCCGCTCTGTCTCTCTTTTCCTACTGCAGTGAGCTGATGGAATCCACGTTCCTGTTATTAGAGCTATAAGATGCAGGAAGACTGCCACATGTGGACTTTGTGGGGCCAAAAACTACATTTTTTTTGTATGGGGTTTACTGGTCTTTGAACTCAGGGCCTCACGCTTGCTAGGCAGTTGCTCTACCACCTGAGCCACACTCCCATCCCCTTTTGCTTTAGTTATTTTTCAGATAGGGTCTTGTGTTTTTGCCCTGGATGGAGATCCTCCTACCTCTGCCTCCTGTGTAGCTGGGATTACAGATGTGCATCACTGTGCTTGGCCTCTCAAAACTAAATCTTTATGTTGGTGAAGCGACTGAAGTTTGGGGCTTTTCCCTAGCATCTAGTGCCTGAGTATCATTACCTGAGTAACAGACCCCTGGGAAATGGGAAGCATGATTTCCATCTGCAGATGAGGCTCAGAGTGGGACTCAGTGGGTCTGATTCCAAACCCTGTGAGATGATTCCACTCTGTGTTTGGGTGCCTGCAGAAGCAGTGATTTGAGGCAGATGACGCCAAGCAGCAGGGTGGATGCTGTTCAGAAAAAACATGAAGACGCCCCCCCCTGCCACCCCCCCAGAAGAAGAAACGTGTGGTCAGCCATGATGGATATGCCTGGGACTGAGGGCACTGTGGGGCTGGCTGTCTGAGGCTCCACCTGCAGCATAACGGATGGCAGGTAGGGGCTGTCAGGATGGCAGGGAAGGAGGCGGAGATAGTGCCTGATTTACAGGCACGGGGAGGAAACGCAACCCAAGATTTATGGGGGCTCAAGTGACTTGTTGGAGCCGAGTTTATTATCCGTCACGTGCATCTGGATTTGTATTTATGGCCTTCCAAATGATCCTGTCTCAGTGAAAATTATGTCCAAGGAACATCAGCTGCAATGCATCTACATACAGAGGGCGATCCCTAGTGAATTCAAGGCAGCTTCCTCCTCCTCCTCCTCCTCTTTCTTTTTCTTTTCTTTTGTTTGAGTTTTTGACACAGTGACTTGCTATGTAGCCCAGGTTGACCTGGAACTTTTAAATTAGCCCAGGCTGGCCTTGAAATTTTGATCCTCTTGCTTTTGGCTCCTGAGTTCTGGGATCATAGGCATGTGTCACCAAACCCAGCTTAGCTCTGTCTCTTAATTGCTATGTGACCTTGGATAAAGTACTGCACTTCTCTGAACCTCAGATTCCTCATCAAGAAGTTGGAATTAACAGCTACCTCAAATTGTAATTCTGAGGTATACAGGACACACCACACATAAGTGTTTAGCACAGCTCCTGGCATTCGGTAAGAACCCATAAACATTTCTCTACTGTCATCATGATTATTACCCAGGCATTGTATGTAATGCTTGGCACAACCTGACCAACAAACAAAACCAAACAAGGCAAAGGTTTGGCTGAAGCCCCATTTGGTAAACAAAACAAAACAAAACACCAAAACACCAGCTTTGTAGAGCTGGATAGCAGTAAAGCAGACACAAGCCAGTCAGATAACACCTAAGGGACTTTGATCTGGAAACTTTAAGAATGCATGCAAGAATGGGTTGGGAATGGCGTATCCTGCTCAGGTCTCAGGCCTGGAGATAACTTTACTAAACTTGAACTTAGAACAGCTGGAAACAAAAGCTGACATTTCCCTGGTGCATGCTTATGCACCTCTTTAGGTGTGATTAAATAGCAGCTGTCTCTCCCACTGCCTAGGCCATCCTGGTCCCTTCCACCAGGACCCCTGGTTAAAGGGTGTTGTATTTGAGTTCCTCCAAAGAGAATCCAAGACAGTCTTGAAGGTGAGAGTTTGAGGAGTCTCAGGAAGACTTGGGGTCTTGGGAGAGGTCAAGAAACAGATAGGAAGAGCAAGCGGGGGTGGGGCAGGGGTGGGGCGGGGGATGGGATGGTTGTCAAAGGGAAAGATCAAGGTCAAGGTCGATGCTCAGCCAAGGCTCCCTGTAGGGCTCCCTGCAAGAAGGAGCTGGAGCATTTGTCCTATGTCCCAGTCACAGGGGGATCCTGGGGGGCATTGATCCCTCACAATTGTGGTCACAGTTGGCTCAGAGACTGAACACACATGTGTTTGGAACGAGCCAAAGATGGGAACAATGCAGGTCACATGCTTACTGTGGAGCACCATCAGTGTGTCTGAGCTGGCCCTCAGCTGTCCATTACAGCTGCTGTCATCATCAGAGGGAAGCTGCATGGGGGACAGGGGCACCAGACAGCTGCTTCAGTCCTTCCCTTGTGTCACTAGGTCTACATGTGCCCACCAAGTCCTCTGTTGCTCCGATCCTGCAGGGCGGCGCCCAGGCAT